GTTTTAAATATTATTTCATTTTTCTCATTTTTTGGAGTTATGATCTGTAGAATAGTAAATTACAACTTTTTGTGAGCAGAACTGAAACATCCACTTTTCTCTCTCTGATACTCATAACTGTGAACTCTTAGTAAGTATTCTAAATATTTTGGCAATGTGTTTATTTGCATAAATCCAATAAGATTCTTTTTATAATAGACTGTTGGAAACATGATAGTGTTGTTGAAGTTATCAGTAGAATTTTGTATTTGCAACCAGAGTTTCAGGAATCCACAGATTTTAGGGTCTTCAAAGAAAAGACTATCAAAAAGCCTTGCATTCAGGGCCTCCCCAGTGGCGCAGCGGTTGAGCCCTGGGTTGCGAAGGTGCCCGCAGCCTCTGCAGCGCCGGTTCAATCCCTGGCTGCTCCCCGGCCACTAGAGGAGGGTCCCGCATGGCGTGCAGACCTCTCCTGCCGCCCGCTGCTCCCCTCAGCAGTGTACTTCGGTCCTTCTGCCTGCGCTGCTCCCTGCTCTGGCTCTGGTGAATTCTCTCACCCTCCCGCGCTTCTGACTGTACCCAGTGCATGTATAAATAAATAAATAAATCTTTAAATTAAAAAAAAAAAAAACCTCTTTAAAAAACAAAAAAAAAGCCTTGCATTCAGGATTCCAGATCTATCAGAAAATGGTAAGGAAGATTATTGCCTTGGTAGTCCCAGAAACCCCAGGATTATTTTAGACTTAAAGAGAGGAATTTACCCAAAGTTACAGGTATCACAGGTGAAGTCTTGGCATAACTCCAACCCATAGAAAGCTGTTAAACTCTCAATGTAAGATTCCTTATAAAAGATGCAGCAAAGTAAATTCTTAAAAGCACATGATTATACTTTGTTGTTACTGTGGTTATGCAAAAAAAACCGTCCAATTTATTACAAGTAGGTTTAATTTGCAAATGAGTTTTACTGTATTTAGTGGAGCCATGAGGGTGGAGAAAAACAATGTTTCAGTAATGCATCATTTTGGATATCAGATACTTTCCTATTAATTACTTTTGAGGTTTTTTATTTTTACCTATCAACTGTACAGGATCCTGAATTTTTTTAATATCTGACTATGACTTCCCAAACCAACACTTTTTGTTTCTCCTCCCAATCTCTTTGTCTTGCATTGCCTGAAATTTTTTTTTTCCTGAAAACCATAAAAAAAAGATGGAGAACATTGTCAATTACAGAGACATCATCAAGATGGCTGTGCCTAAATGTGATTGATGCTGTTTTCTAAATACTTGTTGACATCAAACTGCAAACAATGAAATCTGCGAACAGGACCTCTGTCTGAAGAAGCTCTGACCCCTAACATCTAGAAATTTTAACTGGCTTCCCCCAGAATTCCCAAAGGACTTGTACTTTCCTTCTATCTTTAATTTTTTAAATTTTGTTTCCATAGAAATGGAAGGAAAACTAACACGGGGGAGCTAAAAGTGCAGGCTCATATATAAAATATAATCTAAACAAATGACATCCGACCTTTGCACCTCAACAACAAGGGAAAAAAAAAACAGGAGAAACTGTAGAATATTTGCAACAAGATGTTCTCAGGACCATGAGAGCAGTAGCCACAGAACAGGATCTAAATGGTTATTCTTGAATTGGTGACTGTGTGACTTGTGCAAAAAAGGGACATGAGCAAAGTGCTGGTGCACAGGTGTTCTCTGATGCAGATGGAGACTTAATTTGTAATGTACCACAAATAAAAGAGAACCACTCCCTAAAGCTCGTGGAGGTGTGCTTATTTTTGTTTGAACATGAGTCCTTCCTTCTTCATTGCTTGTCAGGCAATAAAGTTCTTGACCTGTTAAACCGGGGGTCACGGGGAGGTGTCACATGATGCTATACAGTCTGACAAGTTCAACATCTATTCACATTAAAAATCTTTAAAAATAGGGATATAAGGAACACACCTTAATATAATAAAGGCCATATATGACAAACCCACAGCCAGCAACATACTCAATGATGAGAAAAATAAGAGCTTTCCTCTAACATTAGGTACAAGATAACAAAGTCTATTTTCATCACTAGTATTCAGAATGGTGTTAAAATTCCTAGCTGGAGCAATTAGGCAAGAGAAAGATATAAAAGGAATCCAAATTGGGAAAGATGAACTAAAGCTGTCATTGTTTGCTGATGACATAATATACATAGAGAAACCTAAAAACTACTCTGAAAAGCTAATTGAAACAATAAATCAGTATAGCAAAGAGGCAGGCTTTAAAATCAATATACAAAATAATCAGTTGCGTTCCTGTGCAAAAACAATGAAATAGAAGAAAAAGAAATCAAGACAACATTTTCTTTTAACGTCACATCAAAAATTGTAAATACTTGAGGGCCTCCCCTGGTGGCGGAGCGGTTGAGTGCTGGGCTGCGAAGCTGCCCGCAGCCTCTGCTGCACCAGTTCGATCCCCGGCCACCGGGAAGGGTCCCACATGGCGCGCAGACCTCTCCTGCCGCCTGCTGCTCCCCTCAGCAGTGTATTTCGGTCCATCTGCCTGTTCTGTTCGCCGCTCTGGTGAATTCTCTCACCCTCCCGCACTTATAAATAAATACTTAAAAAAAATTAGGCCTCCCTTGTGGCACAGGGATTAAAGTCTCAGTACTATCAAGCTATCATCAGCCACTGCTGCGGGAGTTTGATCCCCAGCCAGGGAGCTGACCCACTTGGTGCAGAGACTTCTGTCTCGCCTGGGGCTCCCCTCAGCTGTGTAGTTCAGTAGATCTGCCTGTTCTGCTTCCCACTCTGTCTCTGGTGAATCCTCTCACCACCCCCATACCTCTGACCTACACCCCAGTTCTTGTATGCATAAATAAATCCAAAAAAAATTAAATACTTTGGAAAGTGAACAAGGAAGTGAAGGAACTGTACAATAAAAACTATTATGACATTGCTAAAAGAACTAGAGAACACACAGAAATCTCATGGACTAGAAGACTTAACATTGTCAAAACGACCATCTAAGCCAAAACAACATACAGATCAATGCAATTCCTATCAAAGGTTCAATGGCATTCTTCAAAGAAATAGAACACACATAACTGAAATTTGTCTAGAATCACAAAAGTGTTAATAATAGCTAAAACCATCCTGACAAAAAAGAATGGCGGTATCACACTATCCAGATTTCAAATTATATAGGAAAGCTACAGTAATTAAAATAGCATGGCATTGGAAAAAATACTGACACAAAAACCAATGGAAGAGGATTAGAGTCCACAAAAAAGCCTACAATTATATGGACAGTTACTCTATGACAAAGGGGTAAAATGCATACAATGGAAAAAGGAGAGTGACTTCAAAAAACTGTGTTGAGAAAACTAGACAGCCATATAAAAAGAATGAAATTAGACCACTGTCTCACACCTTACACAAAAATTAGCTCAAAAATGAATTAAAGATTTGGGCCTCCCCGGTGGTGCAGTGTTTGAGCGCTGGGTTGCGAAGCTACCCGCAGCCTCTGCAGCGCCGGTTCGATCCCCGGCTGCTCCCCCGCCACCAGAGGAGGGTCCCACATGGCGCGCAGACCTCTCCTGCCGCCCCCTGCTCCCCTCAGCAGTGTACTTTGGTCCTTCTGCCTGCTCTGCTCCCTGCTCTGGCTCTGGTGAATTCTCTCACCTTCCCACGCTTCTGACTGTACCCAGTGCTTGTATAAAATAAAATAAATAAATAAATCTTTAAAAAAAAATGAATTAAAGATTTGGATGTAAGACCTCAAGCATAAAATATGCAGAAGAAAACATAGGTAAAACACTTTGCTACATTGAGATTAGAGACATATTTAGGGATTAGACTCCAACAGCAAGGGAAACAAAAGCAAAATTAAACAGATCAAATTATACCAAACTAAAATGTTTCTGCAAAGTGCATGAAAACTGATTAAAGGAAAATACACCCTACCAAATGGGAGAAAAATATACGTCATACATCTGACAATGGGCTGATAATCCAAGATCTACAAAGAAATCATATTACTCAAAAAATAAAAATAATCCAGTCAAAAAATGGCTTAGTCTGCTTGTACCCAAGCAATATAGTGGCAATTTGGTTAACCCTTTATCTTCTCATTGCAAGTGCATGGAAATCCTTCCATTTTTTTTTAATAGCGCTATTTTTTTTTTTTTAAGATTTATTTATTTATTTATACAAGCACTGGGTACACTCAGAAGGCGAAGGCGGGAGGGTGAGAGAATTCACCAGAGCCAGAGCAGGGATAAGAGCAGGCAGAATGACCGAAGTACACTGCTGAGGGGAGAAGCAGGCAGCAGGAGAGGTCTGTGCACCATGTGGGACCCTCGCCTGGTGGCCAGGGATTGAACTGGTGCTGCCGAGGCTGTGGGAAGCTTCGCAGCCCAGTGCTCAGCTGCTGCACCACTGGGGAGGCCCCCTTCTTTTTGTTTTAATGTGTCTTCTGCACCATTTTGAAAATGTTCAAGATAGACATGCTTAAAACCCTATCCATTTGGCCATAAATCAATTAGTCTTTTTTGGGCTCTTTCCTCTTTGGACTTCCCATTTTTTGGAGCATGTTTCCCTACTCTTTTTTTAAAAGATAAGATAACAGGTCCAAAGTGCAGTCACTTATGCTAACTCACACATCATCAAAGCAAGAATTAGTCTTTTGAGTTTTAGAAATAGAAATTTAAGCTAGTCAATCAGGAAATACCTGATCATTTTCAGTTATATAATCTGTTTGATAGGCCCTTGTCATTCCCTAAAGAAAAGCAACCTTACAATAACTAGATTTCCCCCCTTTATTTCTAGTCCCTTTAGACTATAATATTTATTCTGTAAAAATCCTTGAAGCTCCTTTCTATTTGCTAGATTGTATGTTGCCCCATTCAAACCAGTTTTTGCAAAATAAACTCTTAAAATATTTATGCTTCAGAGTATCCTTTAGTAAATTTTCATTTCTAATGCAGTTTCAGAAGCTGCTGTATTTAAAAGCATAATCTTATCACTCACCCAGGATTAGCATAATCGTCCCCCACTTCGAGCAATTTGAAGGTTGACAGTATCCTCTCATGATCTGAAAACAAGAGAAACTTTAATAAGAGCTTCTATTATTAAGGCACTTGTTGCTGATTTTTTTTTTTTCCCTGGTCTGGCTATTTACTTTTGCAATACTAACCAGGTTTTTGGATAGCTTTGCTTATTATTCTGCTAATTTCATACAATTTTAAGTCATGTTTAATGTATTTTTTACCATTAAGAACTTGATGATATTTTTATAATATCTAATGTTCAAAGCATAATTATTATTATGGCTTTATAATGTCCAGAAAAGTAAAATACACCATTCTTCATGCTATATGGTCATCATCATCATTAAATCTCATACTCATTAAGCAATAGATGTTTTACAGATTCTAATATATATTCACAATAACCCTTTTAAATAACTACCACTATTATCCCATTCTATAGATTGTGCATAAATTGAGTCACTGGAACAAAATAAGTTCCCCAATATTACACATTTATTACCTTGTGGCACCAGGATTCACACCAACATCTTCACTTCAGAAATCATTTACTTAAAAAATATCACTATCATTTTACCCAATATATAACAAAGAAATCCCTTCACTAATTGTGACTGAAATAATTTATAGAAGTAGTAACATAGGCAAAACCAAACAATATACACATTCATAAAATAGTGAGAAATAAGAAAAAATTAATTAGTTAACAGAATGTAGAAACTAGTCTTGACTCAGGGCCAATTTTTTTTTCTTCCATTTACCCAACTATTGGTGCTAATCTTGCATCCCTGCAAAGCAACTACTATAGGCACCATTATGAAATGCTTGAATAGGTTCATAACCCTCATACTTACCTAAGCATTTGATTCTATAATTACAATATCCCCTGTTAATATTTCACCTTTACTGTTTTTTATAGGGACACATTTATTGCTTGAGTTACTTCTGAAGCTAGTTAAAAAAATATATTGCATGTAAGTTAGTGTCTTCAAATGGGTATATTGCTTTAGAAGCATCAAATGCTATATAAGCCCATTTAAAACACACCTGGGATTTATTGACAGTTCATTCTATTCAGATAACTACAGTCCAGTATGTGGTCTTGAATTTTCCATTGATAGATTCTATAAGGTGAGAATAAAATCTGTTTATTATTTAAAACATGTTTAATTGAATGAATAAATGCTTATGACCTACAGTGTATTCTATAGAATCAACCAATTACAAGTAAAAGAGCAAAGCCAATATTTTTTTATTTTATCCATTGATAAATCAGTATAGTTTAAATATAATGTGAAGAGAAGATATTATCTTATCTATAATATTTCTGTTGGTTAGTTAATAAACCCAAATTTCTGAATAATGTAGTCCTAGATAAAAAAGTGTTTGCTCTTTGGTTTTTGTTTGCTTGAGGCATTTTTTTTTTTAAATTTTTGTTTGGTTTTTAAATTTTCTAGACATCTAGAATCATGCCAAAGGCAATGTAAAGGATTTAACAATCAAAGATAGTCAGAACTGAAGTAACTAGAATACCAAAGTTGAGATGATTCCCCTACTTGGTCTCTGGCATAAGGACTACCACAGAACACATTATGAAAACTTGGCTTTGATAAAGCTTTAGAATCATAAGGTCATTTAAAATAGGCAGTTCCAAGAGTTGGATAAGTTATATATTTTTTGTAAATGCTTATTTATAATGACAAAGTAAAAGTGTAGGTTTAAGAATTAGATGACATCTCATGTTAAACTCCTAGCACATCTCAGAAATAAGGAAATGAGACATTACAGTGAAAATCACTTTGTTTTCCATTGATGGAACCCAAATTCTCACTCCATTTTTTACTAGATGTGTGACATGAGGACTACTAAGAAATGATCAATAGAACTGTGCTCAGCAAGACTGACATCAACAATCCTACTCCATTTCCACTATTCTCTTTTCATTGCCCTCTCCCAAACTCTTCCCTTTCTCTCCCTTTCCAGAACAATAAAAATATACAGGCTTATTCTTATTCTGCCCAGAAACACTCCAACTCTGGCAGTTGTGCCTCATCAAGACAAGATGTGCAACTTTAATCTTGTTCAGATGTTTTATTTGTTGTCACCACTGGGCAGAACTGAAACCAGTAAGTGCAATCCAGGCTGAAGGCCTAGAGAACACCATGTAAATTTCAATTAGCAAGTTAACAATTGGAAAACTAATGCAAAATTATAGTAAAATGGATAACTGCTGAATACTACTAGAAAATCCTTTATTTTAAATCTTTCCAGCTCTATTCACTGTAACGTCCAGATTTCATTGCTCAAGCTAGTATTCTTATATGTAAATTTAAAAAGAAAATAACAAAGTTATAGTGTCTGTTAACTTAGAAAGGTAAAATGATGCATCTAACACATCTGTTACACAGGGTCCAACAGAGACTGATAGTAGTGGCTCTTAAATTACATTTGTCATTTAATTTGACAGAAAAGTGGCCTGTTCTTACATTACTTATATCAGATAGCACACTTCAATTTGCACCTAAAACAGAGAAATATGACGCACTCTGGTTTACGAAGGAAATCTAAATTTTCCAAATTAGTCAAAGATCAACACAGGTACTAATCCTGTGTTACAAATGTTTACAGATAAGTAGGCCCCAAAAAGTGACTTCTAGATTTTTCCATTACTTCTCATCCTTCTCTTATACTCAGTGTAAATTGTATAAGCTGTTGATTCAAATTGTAGAAGTACAAATCCCAGTGCCATTACTTAATGATGTTTTAGTCTTTGGCAAAATATTAGATCTCTCTGTGACTTAGATTCTTCATCTATCAAAAGGAAATGACTTTTGCAATAACCTCCTGAGAGAACTGGTGGAGAGGATTAAAGAAGATAATACATGCAAAATTATTTAAACAATGATTGGGATACAGTATGTATTCAGTAGATATTCATTCCTAATACCACATGGAAAACTTTATAGCACTCTACTCCCCAGAGACTTCTCTAGCCTGGAGAGTAAGAATAATATTAAATCACCAGTTTATAAAACAACTATATTACAGCAGTTCCTTGAATGTTATTTTACTCAATGTTGTTTCATTATTACATTGATTAAAAAATATTTCCAGCCAGTGTTGAACAAAACTATATTATTTGAAGAACTTTTTTCATTTTACATCTTTTTGCTTAAAGCTGCAGTTTCCAAGAACCTACTGAACAACATTGAGAACTCAGTGTCTTAGTAGCACTGTAATTAAGAACTAGGTTTTAGATCTGTATCCTAAAGTTGGAACAGAGGGTGAGGAATCAAACACATGACTCAAAAAGATCCCCCTGGTACTATATGAACACAAACTGAAAGAAGTTCAGATGCTAGATTTTATCAATATTCAAAAGAAAGAGATTCACAGGTTAAAGAGACTTTTACCCCTGGTGGCACAGGGGTTAAAAATCTCAGCTCTACCAAGTTATAGCCAGCCACTGCAGCATGAGTTCAATCTGCTGCTAACCCACAAGGGGCAGCAGACCTCTCCTGCCTTGTGCACCGTTCCCCTCAACAGTGTATTTCAGTAGATCTGCCAGTTCTGCTCCTATCCTGTCTCTGGTAGGTCTTCACACATACACACACACACACACACACACACATACCCCTCTGCCCCATACCTCTGGTCTACACCCTAGTTCATAAAAAAAAAAAAAAAAAAATCTAAAAAAAAAAAAAACCTGGTACACATTAACAAAGTCACAAGACATTTCTATTAAAAAAAAAAGAAATGTTTAGGATGTGAACATAAGCAGTAGTAGAAATTATGTAAAGAATGGAAGAGACATGAGTTAAATGAAAAGGACAGAAACTATACAAGTAACACCAATGTAACATAAGTGGCATCAAACAAATCAAGTTACCATTTTTTTAAACGTTCTAAAGCTGGGAACATCTTATTTTTCTCTAGTATATACTTCACACTATTATTATTAACCTAAAATTTACCTCAACTCTCATTTTTTTAAATAATTATAATGTGTCATTGTAGAAGAAAGAATGCTTACAGCTGGTAAAATATGATTAGCTTCATTAGTACATCAGGCTAAACTATCCATATGTTAATCAATATATTTATGTTAATTGCTAATTTTCATGTCTCGCAACAAAGGTGCAAATTGTGGTATCATCTGACCTTCAAGGCACACATGATACCAGAGATGCTTTATTTTTTCTTACTAAGTTGTGCAACTGATAAAATTAATTGCACCCCAGGGCTATTATATTATGCATGAATTGTCACCCAAATGAATGACAATGTTTGAGAGGGAGTAAAAGAAAAGGGATTTAGATGTGTTCTCAGTGAACACTGCCAGCTACATGACAACTGACATGATACCCAATTACAAGATCACTAATTAAAGCTATCAAACAAGCCTGTGCATTTTGGTCCATTAATAAGATTTTTGACCTCAGCATTTGAATTTCTTTCCGTAAGTAAAGAATCTTTTTTGGAACACCTTATTCAGACTTTCCAAAAGTAGAATTGATAATTGGATAAATCATAAGATATGGTAATTTTCTGTATCCAGTTTTAATTGTAACAAAACAGCAACATTATACTTTCATTTTTTTTTTTTTTCCTATTTGGGAACCCAAAGGGAGTGAAGAAAGTCACATAAAGAGTTCTCAAGCCTGCAGCAAGGGAAGGGAAATCCAAAGCGTGATTGCATGAAAAATCAAGAATATGAAAGAAACCTTACAAATATACTTTATTAATTTAGTTATGTATACAGCTTTAATTGTAGTTTTTTTCCAGGAATAGGTGGACCATGGAGCAAGTTTCTCCATTTACAAATGGAACCAACTTTCAGGAAAAATCTTAGAAAGGTATGTATATATAGACATATTTAGTAAGTTATATAATCACTGTATTATATATTATTTAATACCTATACTAATAATACATACACATGATTTCATATGTATTCTGTGCGTGCATGTATATATGCATGTGTACATAAGTTTATATGTCTAAGATTTTCTCCAAAAGGGATATAAGAATTATTTTTGGATACTAAGAATTTAACAATATGTTGTAAAATAAAAATCAGTTCCATTTACACTTAACACACACATCAGACATAACACCTACTTGATATGATTAACATATTCAGGGTATGAGGTCATCACTGTGGTGGCATAAAATGTCTACTTCGTCCCCTCTTTTTAACAACTAATTAGGCATCCATCCATGAACAAAAGTACCTCTGTGGGAGTTGCGGAATCCAATACCATACACCAAGAGAATTGGGAGGTATTTTGCTCATCTGTGCATTCAGTAATATAGAACCAGCAGGAGCTTGCTAGCCAGGCTCAGCTTCTCTCAGCCTTCACAAGGGAAAACCAAGGAAGAGCTGACTTAGGCAGATACCCAGAGACAGCAGAGACTGTGTAAAATGTAACCTTCCCAGGGATATAGTCTAATATTCCATTAAAAAAAAAAGTTTTGGGCCTCCCTGGTGGCACAAGAGTTGAGTCTCAGCACTGCGAGGCTCACTGCAGTGCGAGCTGGATCCCCGCCAAGGAGCTGACCCACATGGCGCAGCAGACCTCTCCTGTCTTGCCCACTGCTCCCCTCAGCAGTGTATTTCAGTCCATCCAACTGTTCTGCTTCCCCACTCTGTCTCGGGTGGGTCTCCTCTCTCTCTCTCTCTCTCTCTCTCTCTCTCTGTCACACACACACACACACACACACACACACACACCCTCTGGCCACAGCTCTTGTATGCATAAAGAGGTAAAATTTTTAAAAATTTTTGGATGCACTGGAGACCATAAGAGAAATTTTGCCAGTGCCAGCCCTTGCTCCAAGAGAGCCTAACACACAGTGTTTAACCAGCCAGGACCTCTTGGGGGTTTGGGGGTTGGGGGAAAGAGGGGGAAACCAAGACAGTGAATGAGAGCCCAGCTTCCCAATATCAGGACACTATTGGAGAACTCCTGTTTCTTTCCTGCAGTACCCAAGGTATTAAGGCAGACTGTCTAGGACAGTGGGATGAGGAGATAAGCAACAAGACAGAGAAGAATATCAAAGGGGTATTGAAAGAATATGGCATCCATTAACTGCTGCCAGGGCTCCAGGGAAAGACTGCCCATGAGTTGCTTAGCCTTTCTTCTCCCCTGTAAGGAGGAAACCGACCTAAGTTATAACAGTAAGACTGAGAGAGCATTTTATAAAGCTCGAAGTCTTACTAATGACTATGTGTTTAGTAAGATAAGCAAAAATCCATTCCCTGCCATCCTTTTATTCTTAATTCAGTCCTCAAGTCTAATATTCTCTATACATAGCCTTTAATACTGTTTGTTTTTCGTGTAATCCAATAGGAACTTTAGCCCCAATATTAAGCCATCATTATATTGGATTGTCCACACACTAAAGTGCACTTTGAGTATTGTAAATGAGTTCCATTCCTTTTGCAAACCAAGAACAAGTCAATAGTGTTTGTTTGTAAGGTCAGGGCTAACAAGCACACTGTATTTTTTCTCTTTCATCATCGGCAGCAAGCAATGAATTTTCATATGGAATATGTTTAGGGAAATAACTGTTTAGAATGTCGTAAAATCATATAAAAATCAAAACCCCTGGTACTTGGATAAGGACACCCCTTTCTCATGTTAAACTCCACAACTGGTTTACCCAAGTTTCATCTTTACCAAGAAATCTTTATTAAATCTAACCATCTTGCATGCCCATTGAGTAGGCATATGAATGAAAACTATTTACAAACAAGTTATCAAATTTACTAATTCAAAAGAGCATTTTAAAAAAGCTTGCCTGGAGCAAACTTTCAGGAACACATTTAAGCCCCTTGGCTAAATCACAATTACTGATATAGAACTTGCTGTATTTTAGATACATTTTGCTAAGTATGTTCTTCCTTGGTACCCTTGGGAGTATCACAGATTTCATACTTAATAACATTGATGTAAATTTTTATAAATTTACACATTCATGTCTTGGAGAAACTCATGTCGATATAGATGAAACAAACAAGTGAATTAAATAAAATAAAAATAAAGTTTTAGATTATAAGACCATTTTAGTGGTTACCAGAAGAAAAAAGGGTGGAGAAATGTGACAAAGTCGATGAATCACACCGTATAGACATACCAGGTAATTTCTAAAGGTGAACGTAATGTAGTATTATGCACCTGTTGATGCACACTTGAAACTTAGATAATGTTACAATGCACATTATATATTATATTATAAATGTCGTTGGCAGCAAGAATCTTCCAATAGGTTATAGGCACCTCTGGCCTATAACCCAGTTCTTTTATGCATAAATGAATAAATGTTTTTTTTAAAAAGGGGGAATAAGTCAGAAAATGCTATCAGAGAGATTGGAAGATGCTGAGAGGCTGGCTTCTGAGATGGAAGAACATAAGTCCAGCAGAGCAACAACTTCTAGCAACTAGAAGAGAATCTGTTCCTTGCCTTTTCTAAAGTTTCCAGAAAGAACTCAGCCCTGCCAGCACCTTGATTTCAGTCCAGTGGTTTCTAACCTATAAAACTATTAGATAATGATTTAGTATTAAGACTCTGTTTTTGCTGATTACAAAAGAAATAGGAAATACACCACTATAACCAAGCATCAGTTTTCACACCACCAATGATTTCATATTGATGCCATGCACACCTGACACGTTATGAGGACACCTCTTCACTATGGCATTCTTCCCAAAAAACAACACCCCCATCTAATTATGAAAAAACAGCAGATAAGCCCAAATGAAATACTAGAAAATACTTAGCATACTCTTTGACATTTTCTAGGTCATGAAAAACAAGGAGAGACTAACAGCTTCCACACACCTGAGGAGAGTGAGGAGAGTAAGACGATTATATGTTGTTGTATAGATCTTGGGGTAGAAAAAAAGATCAGTCAAAAAACAATGAAATATGAATAAAGTATCTCATTTAGTTGATAACGTTGTGGAGACATTTTTCAGTGTGGACAAATGTACCATGATTAGATTTTTAGGAAAAGCAGGTTGAAAGGAAGACAGCAATACTGTACCTTGTAATATTTCTGGAAACCAAAAATTATTCCAAAATGAAGTTTATTAAATGTTACATACCTTTCCTCAGTTTTCCAGCACCACCAAGCCCTCTTTGGTCACTGTGTCCTTGACCAGTGTCAGGAAAATAGCCACACACTTCCTCCTGCACAAGACCTAGTTTGCCAAGTTCTAATATGATGATGCAGAAAGAAAATTCTAGCAGCAAATCATTGGGCCTGTGAAGGCTCCTCACACCAGGAGAATGGCACCAGCGGATCCCCTTAGGGATACTGTGAGAGCAACAGGAAACATGCAGAAATCCTTGGCCCAATGCACAGGCCCTGGGGCCTCCAGTGGTTCAGGTGGAGACCACAATGAGCTAGTCATGCAGACAACCAGCCAGCCTGGAAGTGGAGAGTCAGGGCCGACGAGTCAGGTGCAGGTGCTGCAGCAGGCGGTCTCTGATATGGAGGCCCAGCGGAATGTGCTGGAGAAGAGCTTGCCTGTCCACAAGGCCTCAGCCCTGCAGACCAGGCAGAGTGTCCCATGCGCCAAGTTGGAGCCTCCACTGAGAAGGTGCCAAAGTCACAGAGGATGATGATCTGTTTGACAGCAATGAGGACAAGGAGGCTGCTCAGCTATGGGAGGAGGGGCTGCTGCAGTACTCCGAGCAGGCCACGGAGCCTGCACTGCTGGTAAAATCCTCCATCCTCTTGAACTTCAAGCTCTGGGGTGATGAGACCAACATGGCCCATCTGAAGACTTGTGTACGCTCAGTGTAGCTGGACAGGTTGACCTAGGGTGGGGGCGGGGGTCTCTAAGCCTGTAGTGGTGGCTATGGTAGATGACAAACTGGGCCCTGACCTACTGAGGAGCAGGTACAGAGCATGGATCTGCTACCTTCAGTAAGAGCTGAATGCCCATGCCAGGTATGAGGATAAACCTGCAACCTTTAAAGACTGAGATTCTGGAAAAAATAAAATAAAAATGAATGTTACATTTATAATACTATATACCATATGTCACATTAATTACTACTAATAATAGTAATCACATATTATATGCATTATATATTAATTATATTACATATAATTACATAAGACAAATTTTAATATATAGTACATAATATATAATAGATAATATGTGATCATATATAACTATTATAACTAAATGCTAACAGCTAACTTTAGAAGCCATGTCATCTAGTTCTATTTTTTATGTTTCTTCCACAATATATTGTGTTCTCCATCTCATAATCCACTCAGACTGAACTTTCCTGACCTATTCATACCATTACTTCAGTTAAAGTCAAACTTCTGAACAATATCAATTTCTTGAACTAGCCAGTGAATTGTTTTTAAAAATTTTAGAAGTTTATGTATTAAGGAATATTTCTATAAGTTTCTTTTTCTCAAACCCTCACTTCTTTCCTGCTTAGTTAAATCTGTCCACATGGAATTTCACTTTGAATCGGAAATGATCAACCTAGGATAATTTCTGGTGTCCATATTGGCCTCCAACTCAAGGTGTCCTGAAGGAAGTGCTATGATAAAGAGGTGCCATGACTGGGGTTAGGTGGAGAATGATGATGATTTATAATAATAAACATTCATGGAGTTTACAATGAACTGGATACTGGTGTCTTCCCTTTATGTCTATTTACTTCCTTTAATCCACAAAATAAACTTATGTGGAATCATCTTTACCCATTTGCAAAACTGAGATCCAGGTTATGTTAATTTGTAACATGGCAAATGAGTAATGGAGGTAGATCTCAAACCTCACTAGTTTGATTCTAAGTCTTGGTAATTTGGTATCCATCTAAGACCATAAAAACATTTGGGCAGAAAGAGTGATTTCAGTACAGCCTTATTAAAAATATTGAAATTAATAGCTAACAGGCCTCCCCGGTGGTGCAGCGGTTGAGCGCTGGGTTGTGAAGCTGCCCGCGGCCTCTGCGACGCCGGTTCGATCCCCGGCTGCTCCCCGGCCACCGGAGGAGGGTCCCACATGGCGCGCAGACCTCTCCTGCCGCCCGCTGCTCCCCTCAGCAGTGTACTTCGGTCCTTCTGCCTGCTCTGCTCCCTGCTCTGGCTCTGGTGAATTCTCTCACCCTCCCGCGCTTCTGACTGTACCCAGTGCATGTATAAACAAACAAATAAATAAATAAACATGCCTCTAAAAAAAGAAATAATAAAAAAAATAAAAAATAAAAAAAAAAATAAAAAAATAAAAAAAAATTAAAAAAAAAAAAAAAAAAAATTAATAGCTAACATTAAGAAAAACTACATTTAAACCTCACAATTATCCCAAAGAGGTAGGTATTGCCAAGATAGGAATGAGAATGTAGGGAGTTTATTGAGAAGTGTGGACTGACAATCTCAGAATTGCCATCTGGTAGGGAAGAGAAAGAAGTGAGATTGGGCAGAGGAGGGGACTTGAATTGTGGGCAGATATAAGGTCTCAGCCATTCCCCAGGGGGGCCTGGAACTTGGAGGGCTGTGCAAAGGGGTGTGAGAATAGGGCAAAGACACCAGGTATAATCCCTCAGTGACCAGTCAGCACACATGGTCACCCCTAAGATTTGTTATGATCCTAGGTGAGGACACAGAACAAGCTCCAGAAGGGTCATCAGTCGAAATACCTCCAGCAGCTGGGAAATAAGCACTCTAGTCCTGGGGTATAGACAGTACCAGGTGGATGCTGGATGGTGTTAGCTATTTACTGATTCAAAAACTGAATGGAGAGTAAATTACTTGCCTCAAATCAAACAGAAAGTGACATAGATGGAATCTATGATGGATAGATGCTGTCCAGACTTGCTGGACTCCACATTGAGTACTAACTGGTGTGTTATGCTGTGCCAAAATATGCAAGAACTGTTAAGAACCAAAGCAAAGGTTAGCTGAAACGTGGTAGGAAGAAATATGTCAATGCAACTACAAGGGAAGCTGCCTAATTCAGACCACAGGGTGAGGCCAAGGTCAAATGCTCCCCGAGAAGTAACGGAGTAAAGCAAGTAGGAATTCAGAATACATTTTTATTTCAATTACAGTAAGTCTCAGATCTTTATAGAATGATAAAAATATTTCTTAAAATTTAAATGCTTGTAAATTTTGCACGCAAAAATTATGAACAATTAAAAATGAAAGTTCAAACACACTAGTGGTGTAAGAATAGAATCCCCTGAACAGCAATCTCCAACTTTCTGGTAAATTAGGCTTTTTTCAACTAGAATTCACATATGTGTAATTAACTCTGCTCATAAAGGGCAAGGAAAAAGAACTCTATTTGCAAACATTTGTGAAAATTGATATGTTTATACATTTTTATATGTTTATTCTAGCTCAAATAATTTAATAGTTAACTAACATGAATAATCCCCAAAATATTACAATGTTCCCCTTTTGGGGGGCTAATTGAATAGCAATTTAATGAACTGTTCAAGTTTTTTTTTTTTTCAAAATTACAGAACTTGTCTTTTAATGCCTTTGAAAGGCTCTAATTTCCAATGTATCAGAGTGAATCTTATTCTTCCCATTCCATATTTAACAAATGTGAGCTAATTGAGAAGATCTGAAGAAAAGCTATTCCAAAAAGCTTTATATGGAAGTGTGACTTGAAAAATTAGAAAGAGCAGTACAAGGAAAATGAAAGGGGAGGTGGAGAAGGAGGGAGAAATAGTTTGCTTAACTGTGAAAATAGTAAATAACCACTAGCTACTAGCTCTCAGATATGGAAAAGATTTAAAAAAAATTATATTCTAATGCCCTTTCTGATTCATATATTCACTGCAAAAATGCTATCAAGCCCCTCTTCCATAATTCTATATTCATCTGGTCTTTGAATTTAAAGATGAGAAACTCTCAAAATGCCTTTCCTTTCCAAAATCAAGCTATGTCTATAGTAGAGCATTTCCCAGATTTTCTACTTGAGTAAACATTGCCTAAAAAGGTAATGTCTCTGGATTGTCATTAATTCCTCCAAGAATTTATTCTATGATTACTGCATTCTTTTCTTAGGATTCACAAACTGACTATTTACTAATCCATTTGAGAATTTGGGGGTGAGGTCATACTCACACATCAATTCTATAGCTCATGATTATCCTACTTTTTGATAATTTGCAAAATTTCACACTGACACCAAATTGTCAATTGGGTTTATAATCCCTGTTGTCAATAGTCATGAAAGTTATGTTTTGTGTGAATTTTTCACTATGTTGTAAAATGAAGCATTATTTTTCTTAGTAGAAAAAGACATTTGTAAAATAGAACTTCCATCCACAGAAGTGTTCAAGAAAATTCTAGATGATTCTATTTCAGAGGTAAGTGTTCCTACTTTCTATCACCTATGGAATCATGGTATTTTAAATACGTGGTACATTCACCACACAAATGTAATTTACACATTCATTCAACAAGTGATTATTGGGAAAATATTTTTTACTTGATAACTTTGTACTAAATGTTTAGTTGACTACTGAGGGGATGAATAAGGCAAAATCTGAACCTACAGAGTTTACATTTTCCTTAGCATCCTTGAAACTCATTTTAATTAATTGAAAGACTCATTAATTTCATTTTTTTAAAGTTTTATCAATAAGTTAAAACCAAAAAATGATGTTTGGTATCAACATTAACACCAAGGACCAGATAATTTACTATATACAGGACTAATCTGAAACTTGAATAAGCTAACATGCACTGTAATTCTGTAAGGAGACTAGATTACACAATGTTTGCCAAACTTACATGACCAGGGATCCCCCTTTTCCCCTTGAGATCATTAAAAGAAGCAAGATTTTATAGGAAAAAAACCCAACATTTTCAATCTGGGTAGAAAGCAGTAGACATGAGAAATATGTTCTTGAGCATTACACTATTTCCTATTTTACCATCCATCATCACAGTAATTCAAATACAATTTCAAAGCAACTTATGAGTAGGTGTGTCAAAGAATAAAGCAAACCACACAACTGAGGGAACTATATATAAATATATATAGTTTTTACAGGAGAAATAGAAATGCATTTTTTATACTAAAATGGGTAGTTTCAGCACGTATTCTATACATATGTACATGGACTCTCAAATTTAAGAGCTTATCGACAAACTGAATGCAGAAATTTTGCATATATATAGTCTAGTTTTTCATCACTCAGATGTTTTTTTCCTTTTCGAAAATCCTTTCGAGCATTTCCTCTAAAGCTCAATAATAGCCTCTAAAACAGTGTTTCTCAAATGTTCACTTACAGATCACCTATCTAAAACTTTTGGAATGTTAAATAAAAATTATAAATTGATTAACATTCACTAAAAAACTCACAGTCTGATAGGGACACTGAACAAGGTGCACATTTTAT